AAAATGGAGCAAGACACTCCACTGAGTTTTGTGGTCTGGGCCAGAGAGTAACAGCTATGTTTTAAGACCGTTTGACCTCACCTAAACAAATAAATCTGCTCCCTCATTAGGGCTTCCAGTCTGCATTAAGCAGCAGGACGCTAACATATTTTCCTCTTTACTATGCCTCAGCTGCAGTCTCCCTGTATGAATCAGAAGCTCTAGATCTTAAACCAAGATTTGGATCAATTCACTATTTTCTTAAAATCAGTATCAATTTCCCTAGCCAGAAATCACTAGACACTTGGATCTGGTAATTATTTCTCTCTTGCATTAATTTTAGGATGAATTTTAACTTCTTTAATCCTAATTATGCATCTTTATTTTCTTCAGGTTCTCGAGGATCCTCCGAAAGCGAACTAAGGATCAAGAATCAGAGAAAATCGCTTCTGATGAAAAAGAGAATGATGTATGGATCCACCTTCCTTCTCTAGAATGTTTTTTTCATTATTAAAGAAAACTGTCTTAGAAATGTACTTAAAAATCACATATTTTACACTTATGATTTGCTAAATTTCACATCACAAGACAAACAGGACACATCAGCTCCAAATCAATGTCAAGATTTTAGACGCTGGTGCTTCTTACACGAGAAAAAGCATGAATTCATTAACTGTTAGAAATATCAATCTCTAGTCTATTCTAAGAAATCTCATCCAGCCTTCATACTCCATTGTAAATGTTGCCCACTGTAAAATATCTCGAGCTACTGGCCAAAACTATACAAATCTGTATCAACCTGTGACTTCAGAGCCAACACCAAGTCCTAACATACTGCCTCAGAATCGGCATCAGCAGTACAAGAGAAAAATCAACTTCCTCCCACCACCCACTGAAATCAACCCACAGTCTCTGCTTGCTTATCTACCAGATAGTCTCCTCTGCAAGCAACCAATTGGGAACTGGTGACATTTGAGCTGTTCTGACAGCAGCTAGCTGAGGACAGCAGTGGCTGAAGTACGTTTGTCCTGGGTTTGAGTGAGTGGTGGGGCTTTTTGGTAGCAGGGGAGGGGGCTATAGGGGTGTCAAACCATGACAACATTACACATCACAGCATGAGATACGATGTTGCTGAGTGCATCTGCTTTATTCTTAGATATGCAGTTCAGATGTGTATTTATTCTCTCATGTATATGCTCAGGAAAACCAGAATGATTCATCATTGTAAAATAATCCAAATGGGGTCACTCAGTGGGTCCTGCACAGAGCACTGAAAGACCAACGTGGTATTGATGGTGAAACTTCACAAACCCACTGCTTCAGTTTGCAAAGCTGTAGAGCCACACTAACACAGGTGAGAAAATACATTATGACTTGACAAAACTTATCAATTTGTAGATTAATTTCAACTTCAATAAGTAAAGAGCGGGTAGAAGAATAATCAAAGAGCCATAATAAAACTTATATGAGAGGAAAATGAAATAAAATTACTACCCTAAGGAGGTCAGAGGAGGACAAGAGACAGACAAATATGCAGACAGAGAGAGAGAGAGTGTTTGAGAAAGACAGAGTTAGAGACAGGCTTTGAGAAAGAGAAGCCAGTTCAACAGTGAAACATCTGAACATAGGAAGGAAGCTGGTTTTGATCCAAGTGAAGACTGGAAGGCTGTAAGAGGTACTGAGCGTAAGCCAGCACCCCCCAGATGCTTCTCTGCTAGCTAAGGGGTATAAAAGTAAACAGTTCCCAAGGATCAGAGCGCAGGTAGTATTTCAACTGACATTAAGTCTTTGCTTAATGTACTGTTTTCTCTTGTCACGGCAATGTGGCAGTGAATTGCAAGGTTATGGTGGAGAGAGAGGAGAAATACATCATGCTCTCTACGCACAGCACGTCAACAGGGCACTCATCCTCTGGTGCCACGCAATTTCCCCTTCTGCAACATACTGTCATGTAGGAGACTGTCTCACCAAACAGATCCCAGAGCTCAATAAGTGGTCGTGCGGGAGGAAGAGTCTGTTTGGAGACTTCTTTGGGAACAGATGGCTTTAGGGGAAAGGCCCAGGAAGGCTGCCCTGTCAGGGGTGGCTCTGGAGGAGGGGACAGCTTGCTGAAGAAGACAGCCAGAACGCTCTGGTGGGTGACAGGACTGCCAGAGGTACTGAGTGCTCGCCCCTGATGGTGAGGGGGCATCTAGTCCCAACCCTGCTGTTAATGACCCTTCCCCTGCCTCCTCAGAAACACAAATCCAGTAAGACAGATTTGCAAACCTATCTCCAGGCAACTGCCCACTATTTAATCCTACACATTTACCTACAGCTCTGAGCCAAATGCTTATGGGCATGAACAACTGAAACCTGGAATAGCTTTTCTGCTGCTCATAATCTGCCTACAAGTGTCATTTGAATTAGCATATTTCTAATTTATGTGCACAATCTGAGTATTTTTGAAAGACTGACTCTCAGTTTACACAGGTATGACTCAGTTTACAGAGATATATCTGCACCTACCTCTGACTTCAGCAACATTATCTTGAGAGACTTTGCACCTAATTCATATAAACATCACTGTACAGGACTGGTAGCATAGTGTTCAGAAGGAATCAAGTAATTTAGGTTCCAGTTATGGCACTTCTTTATCAGTGTTTTACTTTTTCTTTTCCAACTTACACTATTTCTTGGTATGTCACATTCAAAATTTGTTTCGAAAGGAATATCTGTCATAAAATTATTTATAAAACCCCTATTTTTGCATAGGGTCCAAAGAATAACCAGAAGTCAGTTTTTCAAGGATTTTTTTCCTCTTTCCCCAAATTATTTGATTCCACTTTCTGCTTTGAAGCATTCAACAGCACAAGTTTTTAACTAGAATGCTCTGATGAAGCCCATTTTACAGGGGAGGAAAAGCTGAGTTTTCTTTTGCTGTGATGATATTCCCACTGCCATAAAAACACAAAAGCTTGAAATGCTGAGCCTATACTTAAACAGAGTAGTTTACTACATTGTATTTCAGTTCTTCATAACTATGATGCAAAGGCGGCTTTCACTGCCAGCTTGAGGCTAGTTACACTGACTCATATAAGCTTAAACTGTATAAAATTCCTTTGCAGAGGGACAAGTTCAGTTCACTATTCACCTCCTGTCCTAGTTTGACTTCACAGTCAAACATGAACAAATTATGCTGTAAAACCAGGAATAAGAACTGTAATAAGAGCAGGGAAGATTTATATCCTCTTTAAACTAGCTGTCCATGTAGGTTTTTGTCGAACTGGCACACACTAAGCCGAGTTCTCCGCTAAATCCTCCACTAAAATGAGTTCTTCAAACACATTTCTTTTTCGGTGTATTTCATTTCCCAAATGAGGGCTAGGGGATACAGTTGACAGACTGTCTCACTGGAAGCTTCTTTCCTTTAATTTCTATTAATTTATGTTTTTTAAAAAGCAGGCCAATCTCAAGAGTTCTCTTACATGTTATTGGTCCAACAGGCAACTGTTAAAAAGCTTTTCTCTTTTAGAAGTCATAGTCTGTAAGAAAACTCTATTTAGATGAGTTCTGTCCATGTTACATTTCTCATTCTGCAGTTATTATCTCTTCTCCTGATTTAAACGACTCTTCTTCCTTTACTTCACCATATCATAAATCCGAATAGCTGAACTCATGCCCCATCTGAAACTTCATTTCATAAGACAAAAATGCTGTGGTTACCTCTTCAGTAAAATTAGATTCTGCTAATAGCTTAATTCATTTATCCATTTATTTTATCTTTCCTCTCTCAAGACTGTTAGATTTCTAAACTTTTCTTTTAGTTAAATTTTTGATGTAATTTATCAGATATTCTGGGCATCATTCAATCTCTGCAACTGCGCAGAAGCTGCTCAGTACTCTTGCAAATCATGTCACAAAAATCACTGGTGCACAACTTCATCTTCTGTGTACCCACAACACTTCCTGCACACCTCCAGGGCTGGGCATTAATTTATTATCCATGATAGAGAAGAAGGGTTTGATCCCCTTAAGTACAACTGTTTCTCCCTTTCTTTGATACATGTAAATGAAACTATAGAAAAAAGGCATTCCTACAAACATGTCTAGCACAAGCACTTATACTGTATTTCCATCAGTCAATCCATGTACCAAGAGGACAGAGCTCCAGGGCTCACAGGCTGTGAAAGATAAAGGACAGAATACCACAAGACTCTCAGTCTATCAAGTTTAGGACTCACATCGGCTTCCTAACAAGCTCCCTGTGTTACCATTTGGTCTGCAAAACTATCTCCAAACTTGTGTCTGCTATCTTCCATTTTTTTTCACAGCATACACACTCCCATGCCTCTCCTCTCCCAGATCTCTTCCTTTCAGACAAATTCAGAATTCTTTTCCAATTTTTCTCTTTTTCTCGGTCTTTTTTCCTTTCTTTCTTTTTCTTATTCTCGTAAGAAAATGCACTTCTATCACAGCAGAGCCAAGTGTAGTTCCATAGACTTGATGAATAGGCCCAATGTATAGTCACACAATTTGTGAGTTGGCTGTGTATCATCAGCCTCATTTACCAGTGTGGAAACTTGTAGAACAGCAAAGAGCCTTGGCTCCCTAACAATCCTGTTTCAGTCCCTGGGATAAAATCTGCTTCTCGTGTTCTATAGTCCAAGCATTTATCAACAGACTCAGATTAGCATTTTCTATTTCCTTTCTTTAGTATTCCAGTCAGCTGTAGAGCTCTTCCCTTGAGAAATACCAAATTATCCACACTTAATTGATTTCTCATGTTGATATCATTGGCAACACTAAAGTAGAAAAAATAATTTGAGAATTGAAATGTTAACTGGAATCCAATAATTCTTATAAAGCTGAAAAAATTAACAATTTTATCTACTCCCATACAGTTTAGCAATGATAAAAACAAACAGGATTGCTACAGAATGGCATTCAAACACAGCACTGTAATTTTCTGCTCACTGTTTTTATGTGAAATCAATATGAAACCATCAGCTGATAGATAAATGAATAATTGGCATCATTACCAGAGCAGACAAAGTCCTTCTTCTGAACCTCCGCCACAAGAAAACCCCGCAGGTTCACAGGTGCCAAACAGAAGGTGAACTGCCCGATAGTGCGCCGCTGCCTCAGCCAGTCCGACAGCCAAGCCAGGTGGCAGTCGCAGTGCAGGACGTTGGAGTGAAGCCGCCTACAAATGACAGAAGAACCCTGAAGTTAGTAATTTTTTAAACAGGAGACACAAACCAGAGCAATCAAGTACAAGTCTGGCTGGCTCTCCACTGCAATGTAAGTCGGATCATTGCAGGTTATTGGTTACAGCTGAGTCAGGTCGTGACTGTCTACATTGCCATGTAATATACAACTGTACACATATAAATTAGTGCTATTATTTATAATGTCTGGGAGGAATGAGGTTCAATAATTACCCGCCTACAGGTAATCATGAGCTGGCCATTCTAGAGAGAAGCACATGCAGAATTTAAGATTCCTCCAAGTAATCACTTTATGATTTAATACCAGAAATAACTGCATGGATGTGATCTTTGAGTGAATACAGAGGATGGTTTGTATAAATACAAGGACTAGGCTGAAAACCAGGATGATAAGTGATTCTTCCCTCTTCTTTCTCCTTTGAGAAAGAGGGAGAGAGGGAAGGACAGAGGGGGACCCCACACACCAGAGGCTATTGATACCTTGTACGTTCCTGTGGTGCCTGTACAAATTCATCAATGCTCTTTTTACTGTGGCAATTTAATGCAAGTATGCAGGTTCTAGACAGGAATTTTCAACTCATGACGCAGAAGGGAACCATGACAGGGTCATGGCACAGAGCAGTGCTGGGGCCGTTCTTTACAATGGAAGATCAAGCCACACAGCTCCCTTCCCAGCCTGCTTCATGTGACTTCATGCGGGGCAAGTCTGCAAAATGACGACGTGTTCCGGGAGTGAATCTAGTCATTCTAATATTTACCAAACTTCAGGTCAAAATAAAAGCCGAGGACATTAATTATTTTATTCCCTGTAATGAGTCTTACATTTGCAGTGTTATACCAAAGCTGAAATGTTAAAACAGATTGAAAATCCTGTCAGAAATGGTTAGACAAAGCATTATTCACTAATATTATAGGCATTACATTTAGAAACCCCATACAATTGTTGTGCACAGAATTTAGCCTTGTCCATCCACCAAAGAAATTAACTGTCTATCTGTAAGATCTTCATATTGCATAGCAGCAGTGCAGGTCTGCAATGGGTCCCGGGCTGACAGTCCCCAGATATGTATGTCTGGGGTAGGCAGTCACAGTAAAAGACCACACATCTGGAACTGAGAGTTTATCCTATAGAGGTGGAAGATGCTGGTGTCCTGGGAGCACTGTAAAACGCAATCATGTTAGAAGGATGGCTAGAAGACCTTGTGTTTAAGGATTATGAAGCTATTTAATTGAAGTAAGTTAGATTTCTAGTAAAATATTTTGTTATTATGAACCATTAATCTGCCTGGAATACTTTTTGTTGACTGAAAGAACAAATAAATATATTTACAAAAAAAAAAAGAGAACAAATATCATCTACCCAGAAATCATCCTAAATTAAGATTTTGTTCTAACTTGGAGAGAAAGCATTTCATTTAAATCCTCAAAGTATTATCCCTTCCCACCACAGCAGTCAGCAATGATACTCAGAATCAACTTCCTTTGTAAATTGAAGCAGAGCTCATCCCTTGCATGGATGTACAGAGGCAGGAATAATAAAGCCACAATTTCACAAAAAGGGGCAGCTTTCCAGTTCTGCAAGATGTTTTTTTTTTTTCCTCACTACATTCTGATAGTTGATTTCTGGGTTTTCCCATTGTAGACTGTCACCTATTTGACAGCTCGCCTGCCTCAGCAGAGCCCTACCTTGTGGCTTGTTCAAGTTTTTTGTGCAGACAATCTACAGTTTGCTTTTGAGAGACCATTTAGAGAGCCTATCAAGCTTAACAAAGCAGCCTATTAGAATATATTTTTGATAACTACATTAATGAATACAGCCACAAAAAGACTTTTCAGAGTACTTCAAAAGCATAACAGACCAATTCCTCGTGAACATGAAAAGCACTAAAGTGATTTAGTACATTTTCAGTTTATCCTTAAACAAAAAAATTAAACGAAATTATGCAATTACCTATCTCAGCAGTCACTCACACATGCCGAGAGACAACAGGAAACTTGCCATTAAGCAAACAGGTATGGGGACATGCTTCAACACAAATAAAGCTGTTCCAGGCAATGGAAAGCAGATCAATAAAAACTAATTCCTGTCACTTCCAATCAAGGCTAAAACATCAATGAAACTTAGCAACAGAAAAGACAAATAAAAAAGGTTAGGACAGAAGAGTGGATTTTTCTAGAAGAATTCTTCAAGTGCTTCAAATTTTACTAGCATTTGTATTTTTTTTTTCTTTCCTCTAAGAGGTCACATTCAAGTTGACTATGCTCTTTATTTTTCCTTCTCTGTTCTTCTTAAATGAGCAGATTGTTTTGAGAGCCATGAAGAAAAAGCTATTTATCCACAGAACTATCACAGCAGATGCAGCTGCGGCACAAGCAGCCCCAAATATCCTGCTAATGGATCTCACTAGTGTGTAAAAGAGACACACTGGGGAAAATACTATCGACACACTGCCCTGGGCCTCAGCTGGGTGCAAAAAAGGACTTGTCCCTATTTAAATAACATCCAGACCAGGGATTCCCTACAACAGCTTCTGAACAAAAAAGCACATCTAAGTGTGAAGTGATTTGAGAAGGTGTACAAACTGATGATCATTTTTTAAGAAAACAGTAGAGTCACCAAACTGTAATGAACATCATTCACGATCCATTTGGACTGAATTTGCATCACCAACCAAGAGATTAAATAGTAGATCTTATTCAGCCATTGTGCCTCAGACAGTGTTCTCCTTTAATGCAAATTGTTTGTTGAGGTTATATATTGATGCAGGAGAAACAGGTTCCCAAGCGAAAAAAAGCTCAGGAAACTAGAGAGAATATTAATATCTCCCCCCAAATATTATCTTTATATAAATATTTTACATAGGTGAACAAATACCGATCAGTTTTACACATGCTCAGGTGTATTTTAGTTGTTAGGGTATTACTATCCATTTACACAAAACTTGATTAAATGAAAATAGTATTAGCCTAAATTCTGAACAGAAGATATTCAGAAAATATTGTGTAATATGTAGCTATTCAAGCTTTTTATTAATAATTATAATTAATGAAGTATAAATTGTGAAAAGTGCTAAGATGACTTGGGGATAGAGGAAGAAATTTTAATATGAAAGAGCAGAAGAAATTATGAAATGCTATTTGATTCCTGTATTTGTCTTATAGTAATTGCTATTTTGATGACTTTTCTGCCTCTTTTGAAACAGATGGAAGGAAATATAGGAAACTAAACTATTTTACTGTATTTCCACCTGTCTATGTAGGATTCTTTAACTCGTATATTGAACTGCTAAGAAGGGTACTGTGCATTATTTGGCATTCTTTGGAGACTGAAACATGCCACTTGATATTGATGAAACTACCTTTACAGAACATGAGCTGAATGAATACGAATGCAAGTTTGCAAAGGTGCCCTTTGAGCCATAGGCCCTAAATTAAATTTCCAGCAAATCCTTTTAGAGTGGGTCAGCATTCATGTTCTATAAAATGTGGATCTCAGAATTCAATATAAAAGCTTCTCTTTATAAATCCTATTTATGACTTCCTTTTTTTTTTTTTTTTTTCCCCTCCCCCCCACTCCCTTAATTACAGCAAAGGGGGATTAGTCAGTGTAAGTCTCCAGGGAGCTATATACAAAGCCATCTCCGAAATTAAACTAAAGGAAAATGGCAGAAGTCATTCAGCTCTGGTAACAGACAAGACTGACTGATCTGAAGAAGCCAGGCCAATTTTCTGGAGCACTGTGACTGAATGAGAAAAGGCACAACTCCAGGAACCTTAACCCTACACCTTTATCTTCTTTATCCATTCTCTTCTAAAAGACAAACATCTAATTTCTACTGAATTACTTACATTAAGATCTATGAATGTTACCATGTAATGAAGAATATAAATTTAACTCAGAGGTTGTCTTACATAGATTGACACGAGTAAGAGCCATTTTTCTTCATTTCTGTTAACTTATTTAATATGATTTTACACATGCGTACGTAGCATCCTTGACGCATTTTATTTTTTCAGTGCCGAAGAAAATTTTAAGGCTAGCTACTATTTCCCTTTGCTTTTAGGACTAAATACATCCTGGTTGAGTTTGAGATTCTGGAGGAAAAAGCAGAGAGACTTTCTTTAAACATGACTTTTCCTGAAGTTGTGTATTCCCTAAAGGAATTTAAAGGAATAATTTATTTAAACAAAATGTATTTGGTAGGCTATGGCTACATTATACAAATGCACACAGTCTAATTTCACGGTCTTTGTATTTTGGTCTACTAAAGCTGATCAGGGCTTTTCCAGTGGAATGGTGCCTAGCTATAGAAAAATGGATTTGACGTAAGAGAAGCTTTTCTTAAAAAATGCATCAGAATCAGTGATATTTTGTTTCAAAATGTATCTAGAAGCTTTTTTCAAGTTCTTTAAAAAAATTATTGTTTCAGAAATTTGCATTCTGAATTTAAAAAGAAGGAATTGGATTTAAACACAGGATATTCACAAAATTAAATTACTCGATCCATCTGAGCAGTTTTCACAATTTTTATGACATTCCAGCTTGGAGCACATTTCACATTATGGATTTTCCCATGGGAACAAAATGCCAGGTTCATTTCTGGGTAAATTCAAACTCATGATAAAACTGACTCTTACCTAACCCTGGGAAAATCCAGAGAACTCGCTGTCAGGGTTCGGAGGGCACCGGCCGCCCTCACAACCCCGCCCGGCCTCACCAGGGGCTCCCAGGCCCGCTCCCGCCCCAGCGACGCCATTGCAGCACGGGGCGCCGGCCCCGCCCCGGCCCACCCTGCCCGGCCATGGGCCCCGGCGGCGCCGCTCCCCACCCGTGGGCTGACGGCCCGGCCTGGCCTCAGCTGCCCCCATCCCCTGAGGAGCCCGAGGCCGCCCCCGCTGCGGGGGGTCCCGCGGGACAGGCCCACCTGCCAGGCCCCGCCATGCCCACCGCGGCCCTCACAGCCTCAGGCTTGGTCGGGGACCATCTTCCTCCAGAGTTGGGAGAATTGTTCACTTTGGGAAGTGACTGAAATGCGATTATCACAAGACAACAAACATCCGAAGAGTTGGCTTACAGCATCATTATTATTGTTATATGTGAAGATATTACTCACAGCGTCCTGATCTTTGGCATGTGATTGAAACTGGTAACAGGAATGCGGGTGATGTTGTTATTGTTGAGAGTACTGTCAGGAGAAAAAAAAAAAAAAAAAAAAAAAGAAAAAAGAGAGAAAATAGATTGATCAATTATTTACATTTCTTCACCATCACACTATTTACAGAAACAAGCTGCTAAAACTCTTGGTAATAAATCTGCCAGGCTGTGAGCAGTAAGACATGCTGACAGTACAATACCTCAACTTGTGACGTATCATGAAACATACTGTTAGGGCAGAACAACCAACAGCTGCATAAGAATAGATGAAGCTTACTATTTACCATGTCAGAGTACCAAGGAGTACAGGAGAGGAGTTTTTATCGACTACTGGAATGGATCCAGACTTTTTGGTTAAGCTGTAACTTTGCTTGAAAACGTGGTACAACCTGAGTGGAGGAACATCAAACTTGCACACCGCAATATGAAAGCTTTGCACTTGAAGCCCTCACTCTCACACAAAAAGAGAGCTGTTGACTCTCACAGGCTTGTTAACACAGCCAGCTTACACAGACAGACAGCTCAAATTGCCCTTCTGAAAACACACAGATGGATGAGTACCATTTCTTTGCTTTCCTTATGAAAAAATATATGGGTAGTGGAATGGACCGTAATAAAACATGTCATGACCCAGGCATGTAAGGATTTCTGCTGCTCTATCAAAGCAGAGCTTAAAGAGAAAATGATCTCAGCTGCTGGTAGGGACCCCCTTAGTGCTTCTTATGAAAAATGAACTGACTCGATTATCAACAGCTGAGTGTGCTGCTCCCATTTATGTAGTCCTAATTATATCAATGACTCTCTAGCAAATTAGAAGCAATAAAGATTATCAAGATGGCACAGGAAATGGAAAGCACTCCAACAGGGCATAATTGTCATGCTCCAAGAGCACCAAATCTGCAAATACAGTAGCCCAGTTTGTCATGAGAGTTGATGGAGCTGGTGAGGAGTCCATGTCCCAGCGTGGCCAGTCCTGCTACTGGCTGCAGCTGCCTGTGTGGAACCTGAGGTGTCCACAGCACCACGGCACAAAGCAACCTCCACTTTGTAAAAGGTGCACAGCACTCCACTGCATCACTTGGGTAGAAGATAGTGCTTTTGTGCGCTTGTGTATGTCTTGAAGAAAATACCTGCTGAAGCAACCTGAAGGCACGTTACCCTTCCCTGAACTATCCAGCTGTTACAATGTTATGTATTTACATAAGACACTTAATCAAAGCTCTTTAAGTTTTAGAGAAGTTAACTAGCCCTCTTGGCCACCTGCCAATTCAAAAACATCTTTACAATTCTGCCTAGAAATCCCATGGCAAAACCATCTACAACATCAGTAGATTAAAGCTAAATTAGATTATACCCTATTAAGACTGTTTTTCTGGTACACAGGAAGACACATATGCATATTGGCAAATCCAGAAGGTTGCAAGTTAACAGAGCTATTTGCAGGCACACTCAGGAGGGGTGTGCAAGCAGGCTCTGACACTGGCAGCAGTGTGTTTATGTTGCTGCTGCACTGCACCCCAGCAGGACAGAACATGACCACTTTGTTAGGAGGATCGTAGTTGGTATTTCAGCATAGTGCCGCAGCAGATGGATGCACTATTAATCTGGAGCCAGCCTGGGGGCTGATGTACCCATGACAGCAAACTGTACCAACAGAGCAAAATTACCCTTTCTTTCCAAATCTGTAAGCAGAGTGAGTTATGTCAGTAAAAGCAAAGTTTTGGAAATCTGGAATCTGCATGTGAGATCTGCTGCCAGAGATCTATGTCAGTCAAGTCACACACATTCACATGCCAGGCTGATAAAGAGCTGTAAACCTTAGTGCATCGTGGCTTATAGCATAACATACAGTATTCATTCCAGATCCTCTGGAAAACTTGATGCTGCCAAAAATTGGACAAGAAACTTGTAGCTAAGTATTGGGAACAATGAGCATGCAAAATTATGAGTTTGTGTATTCAGTTTCTTGATATGCATAGACTCAAACAGAGTCTATTATAAATTTACTGGATAAGATGAAGAGGGAAATACTGTCAACTTCAGAAGTAAACCTGAAAGTAAGCTCTTACAGCTACCAGCCATGTCATTTCATCAGCTGTGCATCACAGTCTGGACACATCACTGCCTTACTGTGCCTTCAGCACCAGCAGAGAACACAATGATTATCCGTGTACATCCACAGGGCTGAAAAGCTCTACCTTTGAATTCCTCCTAACCTCATGATGACAACACAAATGTCCCACTGAGGCAGTTTATATGGTGCAAAATGGACCTTTCTGACATACAACTGCTAATGCTTGATTACCTGATTTAGCCAGTGATGCAAACCAAAGTCTTTTGTGGACACATAGCCAAAACAAGCATGTACAACAGAACCTCTATTAAGGGTGCATACGTATATACATCAACACACCCACCCCTCAATATCTATATTTATTTGCTATTTTCATTTGCACATGCATGTTGGGAAGTCCAAACAGTGCTCACAAATGGAATTTCTAATTGCACCACCATTTTTTTTTTTTTTCTGTAAACGTAAAAATATAATTCACCTTCTGCCCCAGTTACCTGTTACGTAAAAATGAGCTATGCACTTGGTTGGAAGGTTTTAGGAATACACTGATAAATGAAAGCCACATGTGAAGTCAGCTCACAAAATTTGAATCGCATACCTGGCAGATGTCTGAATATGACACACACAGCACTCTAGGAGCCAATGGAAGCCATAGGAATTCAAGGCAGACCTTGTATTGATTTCAAAAGAACATAGATTGGATTCAAGCAGAACTGGACGTGACAGCAAGCCTCCTTCTGCGCTGAGGGTAGAGAACACATCCCTTTCTCCCAGTGCAATTCTTCATCTGGACACAGAAAGGTCAGCCTCTACTGTCTGATTTGATGATTCAAAAATATTTTTAAGTTCTTGAAATATTTCTGTTTAACAGTCAAAGCATTATTCCAATCACACAGTATTTCTGCTCACAAAATATCAGATGAGAGTGGCTCAGGTTTTGCACCTAATAAGCAAAGGTTTCCCATAATTAATAAATATATAACCTAAGAATCCTAAACCAGTGCTGCATTAATATACTCCTTGAACACAGATTTCCTGGGTAACTCTACCAGATAGCTTTTGTGCAGATGACTTGGTAGCAAACTATTTCATTGATATTTAAATGTTAGCCATAATGAAGGCAATAAAACATCTATGATAATAGCAATTATTTCAGAACAAAGAAGGCCAAACACTGCAAAGGGCGCTAATTGACAGTGAACCGTCTGCAGTACAGCCCTCCTGTAGCTGCAGGAATTTAACCCTGCTGCTCTGGTTGTGCAGAGCACAGGGCTCCCACGCAGTGGGAACACTTTGGCTGTTGAATGGGGACACATTTTCAGGTAGAGGTGTGCTCTAGAGGCACTCTGTAAAGCTTCCTGTCACGCACATGAAGCCTTCCCAGCAATGATTTTTAAAACTATGTGTCCTGACAGAGCTAAGCACGCAATACAGTGCCATTTTTAACACATGAAGGAAAAAAATAAGTTCTGCTCCAGTTGTCTGCTAGCTGCTCCAAGGCTTCAGTCTCATTTTGATCCAACTAAGGTTCAAATCCATAGAAAGAGATGCACAAACACCAAGAAGGTGTGAGAAACAGAAAACTTCCAGAATCTTCCAAGTCCTCCAACATCATATGGGGAAACGTGTATTCTGCTGGGTTCTCCCCAGCCTTATACCTCTCATCCCTTCCAGAACCCAATATAGCCTTGTTCCTTGGAAAAGAACTGTCCTCTCATTTAGAAGTCCTGTCCCTGTAAACTATTCACATCCAAAATGCTGAATCAGGAAGCAGAGGTTATAGACAATATTATTTATGCCAGCAAACTTCCCACCTTGGGCCGTGATCCTTGTCAGATCTTGCAAGCTAAGCAGAAGGGGACTGCAGCAGTCCTGAGGATCCTCCAAGGACTACTTGGAAGACACATAGCGTGGGATCAGCAATCTTCGAGGTGGTACATCCCCCCACCGGTATGACCTGTCATAGTCTCATTGACTTCAATTTACAACCCCAGAGGAACTGTTCTACTAACTCCTCTGCCCGTTGCCCAAACTGGTTAGAGGCATGCATGGAGCTGCTTTCTTCATTCTGAAGAATAAAGCTGATTTATAGCCCTTACAAATCAGATTTTTTTTTTTTTTTTTAAGGAAAGAATGCTCACTCTGCAACGCTGTCACAATTTGAAAACAATTATCTCCTTTCTCAAACTTTTTGTGCAAATTTAACTATATGCAGTTGCATTTCTGTTCTCTTCTGACTTGCTCCAAATTCACGTATACCACTCTAGTTCCCTGACAGAGAGTTGGTAATTCCAGACTCAATGTAATTACATGAAAATCATTAACCTGTATAAATGACTGTTATGTGTGTGGGGTTTTTTAATAATATTTATGCATTATTTTTTACTCCTTTCTTCACCCTCCTGAATAGGAATACAGGTGTTCAGGACTAGATGAGAGTCAGAAAAAAATTATGCTCCTAGTGCTAGAAGAAATCACACAACTTTTTGGCTGATACTTTGAGATAAAAAGGAAAGGATTTAAATTTTGAACCCTAATAATAATACAAATATTTTATTTTAAAAACTCAGGAACTCTAAGAATTCTTTCATGTTCCTTGGACTAACTCAGAGAGCAGAAATCCTAGGTTGTCAGCTCCATACTCAAAATCTCTCAATTCTATAAATTACAGAGTACAAAGAGATTTTGTTTCTCTTACTTGGAACTCAATGAATAATATAAATAAGAGCATATAAATATCAGAATACCCTGTGACTTATTCATCTGAAATAATAATACTTTCAATACAATGTATCTACCCACTCTGTTCCAGTTAGGTACTAGACATGGACCAAAGGGATCTTCTGGCAATGATGTCAGAAAAAGTTATAAAACACAACAGAATTATCTGAAATATTAACTATTTAATTTCTTCAATAAGTACATTGTAACACAATAACTGTTTTAATATTTTCCAG